CCAGGAAATTTTCCAGGGTGGGGGCCCTGCAGGGCTGCGCAGGCCTCACATCCAGGAAGCACCTCCTGATGCTAGTGTACTCTCAGGTACTTAGATAATTAAATGAATCAAAATGTTCACTTCCTTGGCATTTTTGTGAGCAAAACCCTTTCGTGTATAGATACCACCTAAGCAACCAGGTTTCTTTTCATTCCCTTGGTAACCTATACACTAGTAGGTGGTTAGTATTTTCAGGGGTCATATCTAAAAGTGTCTTTTCGACAAGAGATGAAAAATTTTAAAAAAGAAACCACTCTTCCCTCCCTGTTACTGAAAGTACGAAAGCATTGCTGTAGGAGAGCGTTGGTGACAACGTTTCCGTGCTGAGTTTCATCTTTCATTTCTGCAGTGTGCCACCGCGGGAACACAGGGACTGACCTGTGCACCTTGGATGTAAAAGGAACAGTTCTGCTAATGGTCACCAGAGCGTAGGCAAACAGAATACAACCACCCAAATATCAAGTTGGGGCTCCAGGTGAACAGATTCCTAAGAGGAGAAAATCAAGCCTTTGATCACAGTATGTTTTACCCAAACTCTCACTCTGCGCTCCTAGAAGAATACTGAAAAGAGGGGGAAAGTATCCAGTTAGCATCTGGAAACTATTCCTCTTGTATCTTCAATCCATTGTCCTGGAAGTTATGCTATCAGTGTTTACGCTTAGAAAACTGGAGAGTTAAGATAAATGACATGAAAAGCTGTTCCATTTAGATAAGCTGAAAAATATAAAGGAAGCAAATATTTGCATGATTTATAATTCGTGTTTCAAAAACAAGTGATAAAAATGCCTGATTCATGCTAAAATGCAGACAGAGGTGGGAGACGGCGAGGGTGGGAGAGCCGTGGGAGAGTGAGCACCCCGTCTGCAGCAAGGACGGTGCCAAGGAGGCCCCTGGCGTGGAGCAGAGGTGGGGAGCGGGGCTGGCGGATAGTGGGGGCTGAGGAGCAGCAGTCTTGGGGTGGGCGGAGCTGGCTGCCCCAGCCCAGAGAGGCAGCTCGGAATTGCTTATTTCACCAGGATGTTCCTGCTAGTAGCTGAAGCCTTGTGGACGTTTTAAGACCTTCTTCCTCCAGCAAGGAGACTCTTAGCCTCCCAACACCCTGCGCCCTGCAGAGATTTATGACTTAGGGGGATCCCGTTGGTCAACCATCCCGGGGCTTGACAGGAATCCAACTGTGTGAGACTCAGATGCGACGCAGGCCTCTGGGTGCCAGCAGGGAAGGTTCCCTTTTCAGTTAAGTTAAAAATAAGAAGGCTGTGGATGAGGATGTTTTAAAGTTTCCACTCCTCAATCCTTTTGGGACCCTCCTTCAAGTTGAACACGACACACGCCCCCCACTGCTCCTTGACACCTGAAGTCAGCCAGAGCAGCAGCTCTGGGAAGCAAGAGTGCTTTGTACTCACTCGGTGCAGCGGCTTCAGCTCTGCGAGGCTGCTCAGACAAAGCTACGGAGCGCCCATGGCTTAGCGAGGGCCACGGGAGCTTCATGGGAGACAGTCGGGTAAGAGGGAGACACACTGTCATCATCAGAAAATTGGAACTTGAGTTTTCTGCCCACTTAATCAGGAACAAAAAATTGTCAGTATCCTGGACAAGAGAGAAATATGTCTTCCATTTCAGAGGAAAAGCAAAGCAACATTTTAAATTAAATTCTATGTTCCCAACTCAATTACTAAAATAAAATAATAGAATAAAATAATAATCCGCGGGGATTAATCTATGTAATGTACATTCATTATTCTGTGTTTTGTCATTGATAAGTTCATTTCACAGACTAAATAAATATGTGAGTTTGTTTCTCCTTTTAGAGCAACAAGAGGAATAGCCAAGATTTAGTGAGTGTTTATTACATCTGGGAGCCTTTTGCGCAGAATCCTCGCCTTACCCGCGAGCAGGTGCTGTTATTGCCCGGATCACAACCAACCAAAGTGGGGAAGGCGGGCTGAGCCCTGGCGGTCAGGCAGCCAGCGCCGTGACCCACACTTTTCACACTTACACTGGGAATAGGGGACCCACTTGTCATCCCTAAGAGTCTCCCAGCCGGGAAGGATGGCTTTGGGTTCACAGCGAGGCTTCTGTATTGTCTCAAATTTTTCTATTGCAGAGGGCAGTACAAACATTATGAAATATGAGATAAATACATCAAATAGTTAGATAAGATGATGGTGTCTAGATTTTACCTAGGTGAATTTGGGGTAGCCCAGCCCACTGTTTTCTACACACGGTCAGAATGCATGAGTTCCACCTTCCCTAGACTGACCCCTTTGCCACGGAATTGTGCTTGTTCTTTCGGCACACGATGTTCTTGACAGAAATTGCATCTGAGTGAATTAAGTGTAGAAAACAGGCCAGAGAAGAATACAGAGATGTCTTTGGCTCTGGCACCCTCAATACCGAAAAGAAAAACCATAGAGAAGAAGAGGCCGAGGAGGCCCAGTGAGAAAAACACCACTAGTCATTGCAGGGCTACACAGGTGACTTGTAAGGAAAAACAGTACCTTATGGAGGCTCTTCCAGAAGCAGCAGGGCCATTTGCCCATTGCGACAGGAGGGAATGCAGAGCAGGTGGGCAGAGATGCAGGTGGGGTGTTGGTAGGAGGAAGGAGTGGTTGTTGACTGATTTCTTTCTCTGAAGTCCGAGGTCCCGGATGGCGAGGGTGGGGCAGGGAGGAGGAAGAAGGCTGGAGGGGGTTGGGGGTGATATGAAACCACAGTCCCGTGGGGTGGAGAGCAAACGAACCAGGAATGGGCATTAGGATTGCACGCCATCCGCCATCCTTGAGTGGCCACACTTTTAGCATGAGAACATGGGACTTTTCAGGCAGCATTTAGCTACTGAGCTCCATGTGTAGAGGGCTCAAGGGGCAGGGGTATCCAGGCTGGGTTGTTGAGGGAGTATAATGGAGGTAGAGTAGGGCAAGGTGGTTAGGGGCTGGAGAGGGAAGGCTTACGGTGCTACCCATGGACTCTGGCCTGGGGAGGGGACTCAGGTCCTAGACAGTGAGGGGTGGAGAAAACAGCTTCCCCTGTGAGACAAAAGGACACATGCAGAGTGGATCCTGGAGCACACGTGCTGCTCACCAAGGGTCACAGCTGGTGGGGGTGTTCTGCATGGGGTGTCACAGGCGAGGTACATATGACCTTGGAGAGTGGCTTAGCTGCACCAACGCAGACCCAGTAGCCACAGCTTAAACAAGGGAGGCGGCAGATCCTTTCCTGTGGAGTCTGGGCTGGTAGGCAGCTGTGGGGCAGGGGGAGGACAGTTCTGCTCCAGGAGGTCACCAGGGACTTGGACTCCCTCTGTCTTGTTACTCTAGTCTGCAACAAGGCTGTCCCTGCCCGCAGGCCCCGCTGCAGCCCATGGAGGTGGGAAGAGGAAGAGGAGAAGCAGCTGCCTTTTCAGGACTTGCCAGTGGCACATGCTGGCATCTCCTTGGCCAGACAAGGACCCAAGGACTTGGGAGGATAGAAGGTGATGTCTAGTTGGGCGTCTGCGTGTGTGTGTGTGTGTGTGTGTGTGTGTGTGTGTGTGTGTGAGTATATGTGAGTGTGGGGGAGGAGGAGCTTCTAACAAAGACAAGAAGGAGAACTGGACATAGAGGGGTGGAGCAAGAGACTGAATCAGGGAGAAAACGACCATCTAAGTGGGGGCAGGGGAAGAACACAGAGGCAGGTGTGCCAGAAGTATCACTCATGCGGATGTTAATGGTGTCACAACCAACCCTGGCAGCAGCTGTGGTGGCCACGCCTCCTTTAAGCTCCGAGTCTGTGATCCTACCATGAGTCCGGAGTACTGCAAACCTCTCACTCCTGAGGTCTTCCCGAGGGAGCTCGTGAATACGGCTGGCGTAATGCAGCTACTTTACGTGAGGGTGTGTGCAAAACTACAAATGGATATAATTTCACACAACTAGGAAGCCCAGTTTCTCCTGCATGTGAAAGCCTCACTCTTTCTCTCTCGCACACACACAGACACAGACACATACATACGTTTCTTTCGGTCCAAGTGAGTGGTTTCCCCACTTTATAGCACAGACAGCTGGGTGCCCTGAGGTGCCAGAGAGGATTCTCCCTTAGCAAACGTGGACGACACCGAGTGTGAAAAGAGGAACTCACACGTGGAGTGACCCTCCCACATCTGCAAGGTAATGAGGTTCCTCGGAGATCTGTGACTGAAGGTCACAGTGATGTCAATGTCACCTGGAGCACAGGTGCAGACCTGGCTGTCCAGGTGGGGGACAAGCTGGTGCAACAGCTGAGGAAGACTCTGTCCTCGACCAGAGCAGAGCCAGTCTCCCTGAACCCTCTCTCCCACCAGGCCTCGACCCTGGCCTGCGAAGTCTTGAACAAACACTAACGTGGTATCCAACAGCCCACGGTCGCATCCCCAGGGTGCACCAAGCCCCCTTACAGCGCCTGCCTGAGAAAGCTCCAGGCTTCAGACAGAATCTCCTATTGCTCCAGCCCCCACCTGACCACAGCACCTGTGTCCTGGTCTCGTGGGAAGGTGGGGGCCTAACTCCTATAAGCACCGGCTGGCAAACCCAGAGGGGTTTCACAAGAACTACAAGAAGCCACCTTCTTGCTTTTTGTAATTTTTCACTTCCCCAACTCTCCTGAGCCCCCTCCGCCCCTCTGCAGAGCTGATAAGCGGCCTCCATCGTATCAACTTTGGCTAAGAGAGACTGCGCCACTGCCGTCACAGTAAGTTTTCACTCCCGCCGGCCTGCAACTGATTAAAGTACAAATAAAACAAACAGGATGCCGGGACTTCCAGACCTTCCCGCTCAAACATACTGTGCAGGACCCCGGTCGAGGCAGCTCTCGTCCCTTTTGCATCTTTGCTGTTATGAATTACGTGGCTGCGTCAGCACTTCTCATCCTGTAAACTCAGAGCCCCGCCCACTCACTGAGCGTGTCTGCAAACTGGGAAGCTGTTAGAGGAACACAGCACTTCTTACCTGGGAGGACAGGCAGCTACTTTGCAAGACACCAGCCCCGTGACAGGGCGGGTCTTGGGATTGCAGAAGGATGTATTTACTTGAAACTTCAGGTCTCTGTAGCAGCCCTCTCTTGTGGTCATCTGCCCTGTTGGAAAGGGCGAAATGTAGAATGAAGACTCACAGACATGCCCGGCGGCAAAAGGCAGCTGAAGCGCTAATGAAATCTCTTCTTTAAAAATCTTAACAGTATCTGTATGTCTTTGTGTTAATGACCAACTGATCAACTACTGACATTCCAATTTTCTGACCTGTCTTCATGATTTGTAATTAATAAATTGATGTCATCAATTCTAAGACACATGAATTTTCCCCCACATCGTAACATCTTTAGAATCAGCATATGCCTTGCAATTGATGCCATCATATAGTTGATGAAATATATCAATTCTTTTCTACTGTTTCCATAGCTAGGAACACCAATTATTTTTGAGAAGAAACACCAATATTAAATATACCTGTCCCATGCTTTCATTTGAGAGATAACAACAGGAAACATTATACTAAATCAGCAAGAAAAACAAGCCATAAAATGACAAGCAGTTTCTCACTAGAGAATTCATAGAGCTAGATATTGCCACGGTCGTGATCTGAAAGGCGAACTTTTCACAGTCGTGACTTGGGTGTTGTGTGGAATGAAGTCAGTGGGAATGAACACTGCTTTTAATCTCAGCCTCCATCTACGGCCTGAGGCTTTGTGACCATCTTAAACTTGTTCAATATTTCAGTTAATTAAAGTCACCCCAAAGGAGCTATTACTTATGTGAGGTACCAGGAATAGTCAGACTCACAGAGACAGAAAGTACAATGGTAGGGTGCTTGTCAGGGGCGGGGCGAGGGGGAGTGGGGAGTTGATGTTTAACAGAAACAGAGTTCCAAGTTTGAGAAGATGGACCGCAGTGACGGTTGCACAGCACTGTGGATGGACTTAACACCACTGAACTGTGCATTCAAAAATGGTTAACATGGCAATTTTTATGTTATATATATTTTGCCACAATAAAAAGGAACTTTAACTAGATACCCATTTTGAAGAATGATAAGAAAGAGTTCATTTCATATTGAGAAAAAATAAAGAAAAAGAACCAAATAAGTACTGATTTAAAATGAACACAATTAAAACATATTTAGATCTAAGCACAACTTTATCAATGCACTTGGGAATTCTGATGAGGGAGTTGTGCTGTTTGTGTGGAAGATTTGTCCTCATTCCACTGCAGCCCAAGCCTCACTCCGGCTCGACTGGCTTCCTCAGTGTGCCCGTCTAACTGGATTCCCATCATCCCACAGATCAACAGGGTTAACTCATAAGGGGATAAGCCAGAGAGACGGTTTCAGAGGAGCAAAGCCGCAGCTGCAGGCACCAAGCACAGAAATCTCTAACACGAGTTCCATAGGAAGTCAAACCCTTCATCACTTAAAGAAAAGCAAGTCTCTTAAATATACAGTGGAAACAAGTTTGACATGTTGGCACTGCTTTGTCAAAAGGAATAAGGCCTTTTAATTTGATCAGACCCCATTTATTTATTTTTGTTGCTGCGGTGATTGTTTTGGGGGTCTTCTTCAAAAATTCTTTGCCTAGGCCGATGTCTGAAAGGGTCTTCCCAACATCTTCTTCTAGAATTCTTAAGGTTTCATGCCTTGGGTTTAAATCTTATCCATCTCGAATTGATTGTTGTGAGAGGTTAGAGGTGGGGATCCACTTTCATTATTCTGCATGTAGTTATCCAGTTTTCCCAGCACCATTTATTGAAAAGAGATTCTTTTCCCCAGTGTATATTTTTGTCCGCTTTGTCAAAGATTAGATTACCATATGTGGATGATTTCATCTCTGGATTCTCAGTCCTGTTCCAAAGGTCTATGTCTCTGTTCTTGTGCCAGTACCATTATGTTTTAGTTATTATAGCCTTGTAGTATAGCTTGAAGTCTGGTAGACTGATACGTCCCAGTTCTTTTTACTTAAGATTGCTTTGGCTATATGAGATCTTTTCTGGTTCCATACAAAGCGTAGAATTATTTTTTCTAGATCTGTAAAGAATGATGATGGTACTTTGATAGGGATTGCATTAATTCTGTAGATCACTTTAGGTAGTATGGACATTTTAACGATATTGATTCTACTTTATATGACATACTTAGAAAGTTTTTTGTACTCTAATATTAGGAAGTATTTACTCATATTCTCTTCTAACATTTTGATTACTTTAAATATTTGATTTTAATCAAAATGTGATGTATTCTTTCGTAAAGAATGAAGTGTAGGGTTCCACAATTATTCTTCCGATGCCTGGCAATCTGTCCCAACGCCATTTATTGAAAAGCCCATTTTCTCCCCACTGATTTGGAAGGCCAGCTGCTTCATAGTTTAAATCCATAGACGGTGCACAAAGGCTTGGCTGTCCTTTCGCGTCCTTCTCTGTGTCACCGAGTGATCCTCCTGCGCCAGTTCCACACTGTTTCCTTCTGCAGCATTTTAGGAGGTTAACTCCCTGGCAGGGAAAGTTCACCTTTCAACGCTTGTCCTCTATGGTGCTCACATGGCAGTAATATTCTCCAGGGATTAGGGGGATGGGGAGGTAAACTCACAACTAGAGGACATGGTGAGTATTGTAGGGGGAAGGGCATGCCTCTAACCCTCACTTGGGTGAAGCAGAGACATAAAATGTAACCAAAATGTTTGTACCCTCATAATACCCTGAAATAAAAATAAATAAATAAATAATTTTTTAAAAAAAGGAGTAAGGCCACTCAGGAGGGAAAGTTACATTTTTTAGAGAATCAGTTTTCTTATGAGTCAAGATGTGGACAGCACTCCTTAGTCCCAAAGCAGGGAATTGCAGTGCACACTTGTGGGTCTGAGCCCCAGGCCATCCACTTCCTGGGGTTTGGCCCTCGGAGCATTGATAAAGGTGAAGCAGAGATTACACAGGACCCTCGCGGTTTTGTATAACAGTTCACCTCTCTGTTAACTTGACATAATCATGTACTTAGTCAAGGTAAGTGGTTTCCATTTGGTGTTCCCTTAATGCAAATTTTTCAACTATTTCTTCTCTATTTTAATGATGTCTGATCAGGAATGGTTTATTTAAAAATATGACTTTGATAAATATTCTGTAGAAATGTAAGGAAATTTACTTAAACATATGAAACACCTTGAAGAATATTTCTATGAAAGAATAAGATTGGGTCACACATATTGCCACTAAAGACTAAAAATAAGAAAGTCAAGTTGGCATCCATTGAAGATGCACCTCAATCCCTTGAGGCAACAGAAAGGTGATGAAAATGAGTATTTCTAGTGCTCTGGTAAGTCTGCAGCCTAACACTTGTTCTAATAGAAGGATTTAGGAACATCAAAGGTTGGTTTGGTGACTGGCCTTTGTGGGTCCACGTTCCAGCTGGGCAGGTGTGATGGAGGCAGGGAAAGGCTGCCCCACCCAGTCTTTGGGAGGGAGTGGCCAGCAACACGGGTGCAAATGAGGTGGACAGAGAAATCCAGCTCAGGAGCCCAGACCTCAAACCAACAGGCCCAGCAGGTCCTCCTGTGGGAGATGAGGGCAAATGTCAAATCTACAGAAGCCTAAGTGGCCCTAGGGTCTTGCTCAGAGATGCCGACAGAGGACGTGCATTCAGCCTGACTGGATGCACAGTGCACTTCACAGTGAACTGCCACACCATGCATGGCATAGACACAGGCTTTATGATCAAGGGCTTGCAATAGTTTCCCTCGGGAGGAAAAAGCAGCACTCTTCTTCCATAATAGATCTGCTTCTATCCTCCCGTAAATGAATATTCTTTTTCAAAGGAAAAGCACATACATGCACACATTCCTGCCACTCCTGGGTTAAAAGTCTATTTTTTTGAACTCTGGACTTCCCAGCTTTGCCCTCCCAGCTGAATGATGCTGTGACACCACCCTGCAGCCTTCTCCTATCTTCCAACTCCCTGGCCCATGCATTTGCTGTCCTCCCATCCTGGAATGCTGTCCTCCACTGCTGTGTCCCAGGGCTTCCCCAGCACGTTTCTTCTCATCCCTTTAAACCAGACCCACATACTCACTTCTCTGGATTTCTTGGGTCAGTGGTTCTCAAATGTGAGTATGTATCAGCATGCCCTGGAAGGGCTTGTTACTTAAAACACAGAATGCTGGGCTCCACTTGTAGTGTTTCTGCAGCAGCAGGTCTGTGGTTGGGTAAGAATTTGCATTTCTAACAAATGCCCAGGTGCAGCTGATGCTGTTGGACCAGAGACTGTGCTTTGAGAAGCATTGTTCTAGGCAGTTTACTGAGGTGTGACTAGTACACACAGCTCCTGAAGCCCCTGGAATCTCTGGAGTATTAGGACTACCTTCATATGCTAATGAGGTGACTAGTAGCTGGGAGGCCCTGGATAGCTTCAGGATGGGCTGGTTGCTGGAAAGACTGAGGTATAATTAGTGAGTTGGAATTTTCAGCCCCCATCACTCTGCTCCAATCACCAACATCCTGAGAGGGGAGAGGGGAGATGAGCTCGAGATTGAGCCAATCATCAATGGCCAAGGATTTAATCAGTCATGCCTATGTAATTAAACCTCCACAAAAACTTCTAAATTATAGGGTTCAGAGAGCTTCCTAGTTGGCAAACACACCCGCATGCCAGGAGGGTGGTGTACCCCAATTCCATGGGGAAAGAGCTCCTGTGCTTGGGATGCTTTGGGACCCTTTGGGATCTCAAGACCTATGTACATCTTCGTCTGGCTGTTCATTTACATCTTTTTAAATAAACCTATAATCGTAAACAAAGTGGCTTCTTGAGTCCTACGAGCCATTGTAGTAAGTTACCAAACCTGAAAGAGGAGGGCTGTAGGACCCCCCTGCCTTTGTAGCCAAATGGGACAGAAATATGGTACCCTGGGGATCCAAGACTTGATCCTGGCATCTGAAGTGACAGCAGTCTTGGGAGACTGAGCCCTTAAATCCTGGATTCTGGCACTAACTTCAGGTAGTTAGTATCAGATTTGAACTGAATTGTAGGACACCCAACTGGTACCTGGAGAGTTAGAGAACAGTCCATGCAGGAAACCCCACACGTTTGGTGTCACAAGTGCTG